GCCGTATTTTGTAATCAAAAATCATTTTGGCTAAACAAAATTCTTAATTCCTTGTCATGACCTCAGAACTAATGAATTACCACTCTTTTCTTGATTGGTTATAAACTGTAAATATAGAATAACTACCATGGGTAACATTAACAAGGCTGGTAATGGTATCTCAGGCACTGGAGTCGCGTCTAGCCTCGTGTCGTACACTCGTGAAGGACAACCAGCGCCCCCTCAGCCTGCCTCCACCCGGCAACCACTCTGCCAGGTAACACACTAACGCCCAAACCATAAACTGGCAGCAACTGTCAGCAAGCACAGAATGGGGCACTTGTTCTTGCATGAAAAAGTATCCAAGCATCGTTACATTTAGTCAGTCTGCTGAGCACATCAGTCAAAGGGTTGTTGGTAATGGGTTCTTAAGAGACGTAGGACGTCCCAACAGGATGACTAGGACCCCCCAGATCTGAGGAATTATGATGTCATACCTTTGACTGATTGATGAGGCAGCGTTGGTAAAGTTTAGTCTCTCACTATAAAAAGGCACCATCTACCTAACTTTTAAAAAGATGATAAGTAAATGATATGCATTAGAAATAAATGCATATTAAACATAATACTGCCAAACAGATTAGCACAGTTCTTGATTGTCTTTCCCTAGGAGGCGAAAGTCCACACAGTTTACTGTAAGTTTACCATAATTGCTGGAGAATGAAGAGTATCCATTCTTTGTGGGCACTTGGATGATTGCATGGGCCTAACATCTTACCTGCTGGTTGTGGACTGTTTCCCCTTCATCATATGACTATACTTAGAGAAATAGGAAGTTAACTGAATAGATTCTGTCAGTGCAACCAAAATTTCCTGTCAATATTTTGCTTAAGCTAGTGAAGACTGCCTACAGCTTGACTGAAAAGATGAACCTTGCATGACAAAAGACTTGCTATTTGTGTCAAATTATACATGTGTATTTCCTACCTTTTTTGTTCTGTTTTTGTTTTTGTTTTGGTTTATTTTTGTATTTCAGATTTTTAGGCTTCTTATATGTATTGGCTTTTTACACTTAGTTGCACAGTGTGGTTGCATTTCTACCTTTGCCTTCACTTTTTGTTTTTGCTTCCATGTGTCTAATCATGTATTTGTGCTTTAAGAATAAGGTATTATTTTTTGATAATGGGAAAGATGATGGAAAATGGATGATATATCAGTAAAGGCAGTTTTATTGTGTTTGTGTTTGGCAGTAGAGCATCTCATAAGTTGGATAATATGATACTGCATAGACATGAATGACCTGACCACAAAAGAAAAATGTTCAGTTGCAGAAGTATCCTTTAATTCTCAGTGTAAAATAGCTTTTTCCATTCAAACCATCCTGTATCCTTTATGACTGGATGGATTTGAAGACTAACCAGTGCATTTGGCAGTGAACTTTATTAACCTCTAACTTCTAACACTTTTTTCTCATATGATTTCAAGATGAATATCCAAATTTTAGTAATAGTAGAGGGAAATTTGCCAGATTTTCACTATCAGTTAGTAACTATTGTATGTGTGCCGTATTTTGTAATCAAAAATCATTTTGGCTAAACAAAATTCTTAATTCCTTGTCATGACCTCAGAACTAATGAATTACCACTCTTTTCTTGATTGGTTATAAACTGTAAATATAGAATAACTACCATGGGTAACATTAACAAGGCTGGTAATGGTATCTCAGGCACTGGAGTCGCGTCTAGCCTCGTGTCGTACACTCGTGAAGGACAACCAGCGCCCCCTCAGCCTGCCTCCACCCGGCAACCACTCTGCCAGGTAACACACTAACGCCCAAACCATAAACTGGCAGCAACTGTCAGCAAGCACAGAATGGGGCACTTGTTCTTGCATGAAAAAGTATCCAAGCATCGTTACATTTAGTCAGTCTGCTGAGCACATCAGTCAAAGGGTTGTTGGTAATGGGTTCTTAAGAGACGTAGGACGTCACAACAGGATGACTAGGACCCCCCAGATCTGAGGAATTATGATGTCATACCTTTGACTGATTGATGAGGCAGCGTTGGTAAAGTTTAGTCTCTCACTATAAAAAGGCACCATCTACCTAACTTTTAAAAAGATGATAAGTAAATGATATGCATTAGAAATAAATGCATATTAAACATAATACTGCCAAACAGATTAGCACAGTTCTTGATTGTCTTTCCCTAGGAGGCGAAAGTCCACACAGTTTACTGTAAGTTTACCATAATTGCTGGAGAATGAAGAGTATCCATTCTTTGTGGGCACTTGGATGATTGCATGGGCCTAACATCTTACCTGCTGGTTGTGGACTGTTTCCCCTTCATCATATGACTATACTTAGAGAAATAGGAAGTTAACTGAATAGATTCTGTCAGTGCAACCAAAATTTCCTGTCAATATTTTGCTTAAGCTAGTGAAGACTGCCTACAGCTTGACTGAAAAGATGAACCTTGCATGACAAAAGACTTGCTATTTGTGTCAAATTATACATGTGTATTTCCTACCTTTTTTGTTCTGTTTTTGTTTTTGTTTTGGTTTATTTTTGTATTTCAGATTTTTAGGCTTCTTATATGTATTGGCTTTTTACACTTAGTTGCACAGTGTGGTTGCATTTCTACCTTTGCCTTCACTTTTTGTTTTTGCTTCCATGTGTCTAATCATGTATTTGTGCTTAAGACATAAGGTATTATTTTTTGATAAGTATGTATACTTGACCATGCAAGAAATTTTATAGTATGCCCAAAGCAGTTAGTCATTAAACATGTAATAGGTGTTTGTATCCTAGAGTTGAACCCCATATCCATTTAATCAGTATTATAAAGTATATTTTGCATTGCTGTATGATCCTCTTTATTTTGTTTTATTATTATGACTAAGCCTTAAGCAGCCTAACCTCGTTAATTCAGACATAGCATTTGCCGTATTAACTTTGCTTCGACCAGGTATTACAGAACGAGCCTAATTTTTGTATTAATATTTTACCTTTACCTTAAAGATTGTACTGTATATTAGTAGCAACATTGAGCAGGTAGAATTAACGAGTTTTGACTGTATGGCTTCCAATTTTATTTTTGAAGGACCCTGACATACCAAAATGCAGTGTGTATTACAAGCAGTGAGTCACTTTGAGTTTCTGAAGTTCGAGTAAATGTTTATGTAAATGCAATAGTCTGAATTTTCCCCACAAACATTCATAAAAGCTCAGTTCATGTCCACTGCTTGTAATTATCATGGATAGTGGCTGGTAAAGGGTTGAATGCTTTTGTTTATGTTTCTTTCCTTTTTTGACAGATGAAAATCCAGCAGATTAACAGGGACTTGAATAGGGTGAACTCAGTATTCAAAGCAGGTAAATGTTTGATCAGCTACTTTCTACTGACTCCACATCTGATGCAAGGGAGAAGAAAAAGTTGTGCAGCTGTTTCTTTTCAGCTGATAACCTAGAGGATTGCATTACTAACCAGTTTGAGACACAGCCCGAATCACTTACAGTAATGCTAAGCCTAACACAGTTTATATTTTGAACATGTGATGTATTTCTGTTTTAACATGAACATTTGTTGGATGTCACCTTTAAATAATGTCAGATGTCTCTTTACTGAAAGACTTTAGACTTTCCATAATGGAGGAGGAGGTATTTACTTCTTCATAAGACAACAAAGGAAGAAAACTTCATCTTATGTCCTAGAACTAAACTATTAGAGTTAAATGTCATAATACTCCTTGACTTCTCTCTTAATTCCCTTGTTGCATGCACTTCATACAAAAGAATACATTTTATAAGTTTGGATTTATTAGATAGTGTGAATTTGTTATTTTTTTCACATTTCCTTTGATAAATGTATTCTTAGTTAATGCATCTACTCAAACTTGACAATAGTTTATTCAGTTCTGGGTCAAACTTCTTCCACTGTACTCTATGTGATCTTAACAGTGAATCTGTGTTTAATTTTTCCACCTAGAATTTTCTCTTGTATAAAGAAGGGATGTATGGCAATATCTATCATTTTGATTTCTCACTAGAAAGTCCTAAAATGTGGAATGTGACTGCATTTTCTCACTCTAGACTTATTTAAAACTGTTTAGTGTTCTTGGTACTTCCTTCTTGTTCACTTCTTTCACCCTTTTGCACTTAACCTTTCATTAATTTCCTACTTTTCTTAAGCTCTCCTCTCTTTCTGTTTTTCAGCATGGTCTTGTTCTTCCTTCTCTTTCCTTTTCTTTTCTTCTTTACTTCCTCCATATCCTCCATCATCTCTTATGTTTTCCATTCTTTTCTTTTTTTCCCTCCTCCTCCTCCTTTTTCTTCTTCTTCTTCTCCTCCTCCTCCTCCTCCTCCTCCTCCTCCTCCTCCTCCTCCTCCTCCTCCTCCTCCTCCTCCTATCTCCTCTCTCCTCTCTCCCTCTCTCCCTCTCCCTCTCTCTCTCTTCTTCTTCCTCCTCCTCCGACTCCCCCCTCCTCCCTTCTTTTTCATTCTTCTTCTTCTTCTTCTTCTTCTTCTTCTTCTTCTTCTTCTTCTTCTTCTTCTTCTTCTTCTTCTTCTTCTTCTTCTTCTTCTTCTTCTTCTTCTTCTTCTTCTTCTTCTTCTTCTTCTTCTTCTTCTTCTTCTTCTTCTTCTTCTTCTTCTTCTTCTTCTTCTTCTTCTTCTTCTTCTTCTTCTTCTTCTTCTTCTTCTTCTTCTTCTTCTTCTTCTTCTTCTTCTTCTTCTTCTTCTTCTTCTTCTTCTTCTTCTTCTTCTTCTTCTTCTTCTTCTTCTTCTTCTTCTTCTTCTTCTTCTTCTTCTTCTTCTTCTTCTTCTTCTTCTTCTTCTTCTTCTTCTTCTTCTTCTCCTCCTCCTCCTCCTCTCCTCCTCCTCCTCCTTTTTCTTCTTCTTCTTCTTCTTCTTCTTCTTCTTCTTCTTCTTCTTCTTCTTCTTCTTCTTCTTCTTCTTCTTCTTCTTCTTCTTCTTCTTCTTCTTCTTCTTCTTCTTCTTCTTCTTCTTCTTCTTCTTCTTCTTCTTCTTCTTCTTCTTCTTCTTCTTCTTCTTCTTCTTCTTCTTCTTCTTCTTCTTCTTCTTCTTCTTCTTCTTCTTCTTCTTCTTCTTCTTCTTCTTCTTCTTCTTCTTCTTCTTCTTCTTCTTCTTCTTCTTCTTCTTCTTCTTCTTCTTCTTCTTCTTCTTCTTCTTCTTCTTCTTCTCCTCCTCCTCCTCCTCCTCCCTCCTCCTCCTCCTCCTCCTCCTCCTCCTCCTCTCCTCCTCCTCCTCCTTCCTCCTCCTCCTCCTCCTTCCTCCTCCTCCTCCTCCTCCTCCTCCTCCTCCTCCTCCTCCTCCTCTCCTCCTCCTCCTCCCTCCTCCTCCTCCTCCTCCTCCTCCTCCTTCCTCCTCCTCCTCCTTCCTCCTCCTCCTCCTCCTCCTTCCTCCTCCTCCTCCTCCTCTCCTCCTCCTCCTCTCCTCCTCCTCCTCCTCCTTCCTCCTCCTCCTCCTTCCTCCTCCTCCTCCTCCTCCTCCTCCTCCTCCTTCCTCCTCCTCCTCCTCCCTCCTCCTCCTCCTCCTCTCCTCCTCCTCCTCCTTTTTCTTCTTCTTCTTCTTCTTCTTCTTCTTCTTCTTCTTCTTCTTCTTCTTCTTCTTCTTCTTCTTCTTCTTCTTCTTCTTCTTCTTCTTCTTCTTCTTCTTCTTCTTCTTCTTCTTCTTCTTCTTCTTCTTCTTCTTCTTCTTCTTCTTCTTCTTCTTCTTCTTCTTCTTCTTCTTCTTCTTCTTCTTCTTCTTCTTCTTCTTCTTCTTCTTCTTCTTCTTCTTCTTCTTCTTCTTCTTCTTCTTCTTCTTCTTCTTCTTCTTCTTCTTCTTCTTCTTCTTCTTCTTCTTCTTCTTCTTCTTCTTCTTCTTCTTCTTCTTCTTCTTCTTCTTCTTCTTCTTCTTCTTCTTCTTCTTCTTCTTCTTCTTCTTCTTCTTCTTCTTCTTCTTCTTCTTCTTCTTCTTCTTCTTCTTCTTCTTCCTCCTCCTCCTCCTCCTCCCTCCTCCTCCTCCTTCCTCCTCCTCCTCCTTCCTCCTCCTCCTCCTCCTCCTCCTCCTCCTTCCTCCTCCTCCTCCTCTCCTCCTCCTCCTCCCTCCCCCTCCTCCTTTCTCCTCCTCCTCCCCTTCCTCCTTTTTCTTCTTCTTCTTCTTCTTCTTCTTCTTCTTCTCTTTTCTTTTCTTTTTTTTTTCTTTCTGAACATTCCCACTGACTTTTGTTAATTCTCTACTTTCTCTCAACAGAAAGAACCAGCTGACATGCGGCTCCCCCACCATCCCCACCACTGTGATTCCTGCGTAGAGCTACCATACACCAAAATTGATTCCCAGACAGACTCAAGAGGGAGAGTAGCTGAACGCCTCAAGGATAGACCACGCATTCCAAAACAGTGCTCGATAACGTTAAGGAAAAGCCAGATAACGAATGATATAAATGGCATTGCTTTTACACACAGAACTCCTGAATTGGCCAGAAAACCATGTGAATCTAGTTTAAGAAGAGGCATTTCAGAATACATGCCTCGCAGACTACTGGGACGGCAGCAAAGTCAATGCAGTCATGTCTGTGGCAATAGTTACCCTCTCTATGTAACAAAAGATGAATATTTTTTCTAAAAAGGAATCCCAAAAGACTTGTCCCTTTTAAGTTAAATTCACTTCTATGCTGCAGGAGTAGGAGGCTCTCCAGGATGTCCTTGTATATGTAAATAGTTAGGTTAATTGATTGAAGAAATTATTGATGCATCCATTTTAGCAAAGATCCTTTTTTGTTGTGGCATAACAAGTGGTAAGATAATTATGTTTTGAAATACTGCTGTGTGCACCTCCTAGGTAAGCTTTTTATTTCAAGGAATTTGCTTTTAGTTCATCAGGTGCTCCATTTTCCTGCAATCTGTGGAAAGTTATTAAATTTAGCAAGCAGATGCCTAAATATCCTGCCTGTTATCTGCATTGTGATATTGATCAAAAGAGCCAACAGGAGGCAGCAAAGCACATAGCAGCAGCACAGTGTTAGTGATGGACCTCACAGTTAGTCACATCATTGTGATCAAATCAAGTGCCCAAGAATCCCATATTGTGACACAGAAAAGCTGATAAATGCACACCGCCTTTATTTATGAGAGTCATCAGTGTTATGGTAGTGAAATGCATTGCAGGCTTATGATCTTGTGTATATGTGTATACCATGGGAATCTTCATGGATATCAGCCAAACATTGATGCGTCTTTCTTAAGCATAATTTTATTGATAGTGAAAAGTTTCTTTGCTGTAACTGAGATGTTAAAAGTAGATATTTCAATTTGATTGTACACTGTACTTGTCATTCACAGTGAATACTCTCGAGTTGTGCTTAAGAAATGGTGTCGCAGCCTCATCTTCTAGTTTCCTCTGTCAAATTCCAGTTTTGTACATAATGGTAACTCTTCAGTTCCTTGATATCTCTTGTTACATATTGATATGAGCTGTACCATAGCTTCTTGGTAGATTGGACAATATCACCTATGTAATTTATGAAAGGTTCCTCCTGAAGCAGAGGTTAATGGTACAATGTTTCAGATGCCCAAGTTTTATGTGGCAGATAAGTAGGCTAATAATCAAGTCTTGAAATTAAATTATGGATTGTGTAAGACCTTTTTTTTATGATTGGTTAAATAGATTCAGTATTGTACTGTAATCACCACTTCAGAACCAAACACAAAAACCTGCGTAACTAGCCTAAGACTCGGTGATAAAAGAAAAGATTATCAGCAGCTGGGCATATTGTCCCAGATGACTGTAGTTTCTGGGAGTGTCAGGTTTTATCTTGCAATGATGTCACATCTCCAAATATTCAATCAGCAAAATATTTTCTCCACGTGCTTGGATAAGCCTTTTGTTTAATTTGATATTTTTTATTTTTTCTATATAGTTTTAATATAGACAGTTATCAAATTAGTCTCAAGATTAGAAGAAAAAAGAAATCTGACCCTAAGAATCTTTTCCATGATTGACATTGAAAAATATTGGCAATGGACAGGATACAATGTATTCCTTTCCTTTTAAAGAACAAGTGATGAATATTTACATTTTATATTGCATATTTTGTTTATTAGATTGGTCTCTATTCTCATTAAAAATTAGCAGAAACACATGAGTCTTCTTATTATCCAGAAACCTTGATTCTTATCCTTTCATTATACAGTGTGAGGAATACAGAAGGATATCACATTGTACTATGCACATAATGCTGCAGCAGAATGATGGGCTATCTAGGGACTCAATGAATATCAAAATGAAGTTGGATAAATGCCTGTGAAAATCATTTGATAAAAGTAGACAGTTTTGTGTACCCACATAATTTATTATTGAATTTTGTTTGTGTCGGTGTATCTACCTTTAATTTAATTAACAAATATCCAAAGTGGTAAGTATCTATACTGTTATATATTTGCTGCACCAATTATAAAGATTTCGCCATATTACCAACTGATCTTAGTCTTTTTCTTAGTCATCCTAAGTACAACTTTAACTTTCTCTATTTAGATTGTTTATAAATTGCTGCATTTCATTTGCAGATTCACTGAAGAGAGCAATATCATATGCAAATCTTAGATTGTTTAGGTATTTGTCTCTTATTTTAATACCCCTTCTGTTCCATTCTAGCTTCTTAAATATTTCCTCATGAGAAGCTGTAAACAATTTTGTTGAGATAGTCACCCAGTCTAACACCCTCTTTAATTTAGCAGCATTTTAACGGTTTCCATGTGGAGCTTGATGGTTGCTGTCCCATCTTGGTTAATATCTTCCAATATTTTACAATATACCTTTCCTCCTCCCTGTCTTCAAATAGCTTCTAGTAGTGCTGGTATTTGTAGAGAGTCAAATGCCTTTTCATAATCAAAGAATGCCATACACGGGTTTCCTGTATTCGTTTGTTTCTTCTCTTATTTGGGTGGGCGTGTGGATGTGGTCTGTTGTTGAGAATCCACTGTGGAAGCCTGCCTGCTCTATAGGCCGGTTAGAATCAGACTGTCAGAGATGCAAGCTGTAATTACCTGTGAACAGTTTGTAAGTAACTGGATGGAGGCTTATGGGTCGATAGTTTTTTAGATCCTTGCTATCCCCTTTTTAATGTATCAAAACATTTGTGTTTTTCCAGGCTTTCAGATTTTTCTGTTGAGAAGGCATTTGTTAAAAAGATTGGCTAGTTTTACTGATGCAATCTATTATAAAGTCTATACTAAATCTGTCTTCACCTGGTGTTTTCCCTCTCTTCATACCTTTTTATATCCTCTTTTGTTATGTTAGGTACGTCTCTAGAATACCGTGTTTGCTTCTATCTATGGCTGTTCATTCAAGTTGTATAGATATGTCACTTCTCTGTCTAGTTTCTTTATTACATACATTTGATTTCTCCCAAGTATGTCTTCTTTTAGCTGTTTTCATGCTGGCACCTGAGGTCATTGTTTCATGTATTTGAGTATTGAATTTCCATATATTTTCTCTTCTTTTTCTTTATAGCCTTTGTTAGTTCAGATAATTCTATTTTGTCCCTGTTTGATGATACTTTTATGTCCCTACATTTTTGCATAAGCTGTTTAGTCACAGAGAGCTTGCTGGAGCTTTCAGTGTCGTTCTTACTGCTTGCTTCAAATGCAGATTCCTTTATTATGTCATTGAATCGTTTGATGATTTGGTCAGTGTTTATCTCTGAGTAGTGAATATCTGTTTTGGATGTTAAGGCTAAATTCTGTTGCTCTGGCCTTTAAGTTAGTTAAATTTGACTACGGTTTTCATATGAGTTTGTTCCTTTTCCTTCTGAGGAGTAATTTAATTTCCCCTCTGACCACAGAACGGTCAGAGGGGAAATTACCGTTTACTTTATTAATGCCAACATTTACGTCATTAATAACTTCCACATGATTTACTATGCTGCAACTATTTGAAATTATAAAGTCAATATAATTTTTGATGTTCAAAGGGGACATCCATGTCCACTTCTACTCTAGTCTTTTTTTGAAGAATGTATTCATTATATTGAGTGATCAAGCTTCCACAAAATCGACTAGCACTACAGTTCCTCCCGTCTTTTTACCTATTTTGGCAATAAAATCTAAAATCATTGTGAAATGGTTTTTTACTCCCTAGCTAAATGAACATCATAGAAGCTCTCTATTTCTTCATCACTGTGGTTGCAGTTTAGTACCTATGGTTTAGTTTTTTTGTTGCCACTCTTTCAATTAAACTAAAGAATCCCACGATAAGTATTTGTGAATTAAGAAACCTACCCCTAATTCCTGCTAGCTACCCTGGGGTTTACTTCTCCAATAAAGCATGTGCCCATCATTTAGTATCTTCTGTTCTTTGCCTAACCCTATAACATACTATTTAATGAAAGAGAGTTCCTCAAGTAGTAAGACGGATTCAGTTCTCGTGGTCTTTATATCCAGTGTGCAAAGGTTCATCAACGTGGGGCAGCCTGTCTTTAACCAGAGATATTTAGCACTCTGCGGTGATCCTGATTGCCAATGTCACCAAATACTCCGCCTCACACACACACACGCACATGCATACGCACACGCACACGCACACGCACATGCACACACACACACACACACACGGTATATATATTTATGTAATATACATATATATATTTATATAATATACATATACATATATATATATATATATATATATATATATATATATATATATATATATATATATATATATTTAGCCATATACATACATATATGGCTGGAAACTAATGTGTTCCTATAAACACATGTACTCATATGCATGTGTGTAAGCATGTATATGGCTACACACACACACACATATATATATATATATATATATATATATATATATATATATATATATATATATATATATATATATATATATATTTATACATATATATATTTATACATATATATATTTATACATATATATATTTATACATATACATATTTATACATATATATATTTATACATATACATATTTATACATATATATATTTATACATATACATATTTATACATATATATATTTATACATATACATATTTATACATATATATATTTATACATATACATATTTATACATATATATATTTATACATATACATATTTATACATATATATATTTATACATATACATATTTATACATATATATATTTATACATATACATATTTATACATATATATATTTATACATATACATATTTATACATATATATATTTATACATATACATATTTATACATATATATATTTATACATATACATATTTATACATATATATATTTATACATATACATATTTATACATATATATATTTATACATATACATATTTATACATATATATATTTATACATATACATATTTATACATATATATATTTATACATATACATATTTATACATATATATATTTATACATATACATATTTATACATATATATATTTATACATATACATATTTATACATATATATATTTATACATATACATATTTATACATATATATATTTATACATATACATATTTATACATATATATATTTATACATATACATATTTATACATATATATATTTATACATATACATATTTATACATATATATATTTATACATATACATATTTATACATATATATATTTATACATATACATATTTATACATATATATATTTATACATATACATATTTATACATATATATATTTATACATATACATATTTATACATATACATATTTATACATATACATATTTATACATATACATATTTATACATATACATATTTATACATATACATATTTATACATATATATATTTATACATATACATATTTATACATATACATATTTATACATATACATATTTATACATATATATATTTATACATATACATATTTATACATATATATATTTATACATATACATATTTATACATATATATATTTATACATATACATATTTATACATATATATATTTATACATATACATATTTATACATATATATATTTATACATATACATATTTATACATATATATATTTATACATATACATATTTATACATATATATATTTATACATATACATATTTATACATATACATATTTATACATATACATATTTATACATATACATATTTATACATATACATATTTATACATATACATATTTATACATATACATATTTATACATATACATATTTATACATATACATATTTATACATATACATATTTATACATATACATATTTATACATATACATATTTATACATATACATATTTATACATATACATATTTATACATATACATATTTATACATATACATATTTATACATATACATATTTATACATATACATATTTATACATATACATATTTATACATATACATATTTATACATATACATATTTATACATATACATATTTATACATATACATATTTATACATATACATATTTATACATATACATATTTATACATATACATATTTATACATATACATATTTATACATATACATATTTATACATATACATATTTATACATATACATATTTATACATATACATATTTATACATATACATATTTATACATATACATATTTATACATATACATATTTATACATATACATATTTATACATATACATATTTATACATATACATATTTATACATATACATATTTATACATATACATATTTATACATATACATATTTATACATATACATATTTATACATATACATATTTATACATATACATATTTATACATATACATATTTATACATATACATATTTATACATATACATATTTATACATATACATATTTATACATATACATATTTATACATATACATATTTATACATATACATATTTATACATATACATATTTATACATATACATATTTATACATATACATATTTATACATATACATATTTATACATATACATATTTATACATATACATATTTATACATATACATATTTATACATATACATATTTATACATATACATATTTATACATATACATATTTATACATATACATATTTATACATATACATATTTATACATATACATATTTATACATATACATATTTATACATATACATATTTATACATATACATAT